TAGGGAGCTAAGCCATGTAAACCAGTCCTGTGGTATATGAAACACCCTCAGTCCTCATCTTCTTCCACGGTGAAGAAAAGTAATATGCATAGTTCTGTGCCAAGCACTCAGACAAAGACCTAGGCACAGAAATCCATGGACGCTGAAGGTGTATGAAGCATGTTTGGTTTAGCAGTCTTCGCACTTTACGGAAAAGAGTTTATTATTGCCGTTTTTTTTCAGATAGAGGTCAGAAAACTAAAATAATTTCACGAAATCACTATCAGAACAGTGTTCAGCTTTTGTGAGCCCAGCATCCTCAGTATTGCATGCTCAGAAAGGATGCTGCCTCAGATTGCTATTTAATCATTGCTTACAGCTCTTCTTTTCTGAGAATTCATGGTAATTACATGTCAAAAGGTTAAAGTGGTATAGCATGCAGTAAAGCACAGTACAGTATAAACTAATGTAATTGTAGCTGAGTGTTCTGACCTTTAAATATGTAGCTTAGGTGGCTATTATGTTCTGTTTGTTTCATCACATTGGTTTTAAAAATAAGGGTTGCTCAGCTTTTGCCTTGATTGACTTTTAATGACTGTAAGTAGTATAGACTGTAATTTCCATGTGTGGAGGGGAAAATATGCCTATAGAGTATAATATTGAATAATATCGTTTCAGTGAATGCTTCTGTAAACTCAGTACTTTTTGTTACTTAAACCTGGAAATAACCATTGCAAGGGTCCATGCTGGTAGTGCTTAATCATGTGATTAGTCTTTATTCATGTAAAAAAATCCCATTGACTCGATGGCTTTACTTACATAAGTAAAGAATTCAGTATTTTGGTCATCTCGGAGCAAAGTATACCCATGGTAATTAAACAGATTAATAAGGGTTTGTTTATATTTAATTTCTTAAATCATCCATACATTTAAATGTAGGATTACATAAATAGCCCATGTAAAACTATATTGGTGAGGGGAGTAGATGAGAAAATGTATTTCCATTTTAAGACTATATGTAGATGGGGAATGATAACTATATGCCATCTTTGCTAGCTAAAGGAAAGCTTTTACACGTATTGCAAGATGTGACAGCTCTGAGCCCTGTTCCTAGAGCTCTTGAAGGAGCAGAGGAAACACTGTCTGAATGACTGAGCAGAGTGGACTTTGCAGCATCTGGTGTTTCACCTTCCTTTAGATAGGGCTTGACAGATGTCCACTGAATCTCTCTGTCAGCTGGTTCTCGGAGAGGTTATAGAGGGCAGCTCTTGGCAGCGGGAGTTTGAGGTCCCCTCTTACACTGGCAGGGTCCTTTCCAGTGCTCTGTCTGAGCCGTTGGAGGTGCATGTCGCCAATGGAAGCGTCTGGGTGAAGAGGGGAGAGCAGCTGGTTCTATGCGGGGAAGGCTGTGCTTGAAGTCCTTCTGTGCAAGAGGGGTCTTCTGCCTCCACAGACCTAGGAGTACCTTCCCAGTCAGTCCATCAGGTTGTAGTCCTTCCTCTGTTTGGCCCTCCAGACTCCCATCTCCGTGAGAAAACTTCCTAATAGTTGCATCAACCAGTTTTCAGTTGCTTTTTGTCTCCCTGTATTGGCAAGATATATATCCAGACCTTGATATATACTTATGGCATGATATGTGTCCCTAGATTCATAATCACGATCATGGGCTCTCCTCATGTGACCAGCTGTATTCTAAACATGTTAGGCATGCATACCTTTATTTGTCTTAATAGAAATTTTGCTTTGTTTTTAGACAGAACAATAATGTCCATGGACAGCATGGAGAGTCTCTCCATGTAAAAAGAGCTTGTTGGTGGTGTTATTGTAGTGCACAGGAGTTTGAGGGATGGGGTCCCTACATTTGGGTCTAGCTAGCGTCAAAGTTAGTCTGCTCTGAATAAGTATTGCAGAGAGTTGTAGACAGTTTTAGGTTATGGGATTTTTTTTGTTCTTCTTGCTGTAGCCCATGAGACCAGAGATACTGAAGAAAGGGATGCAGGGCAGCAAACATTACACGTCCCACTGTGGAAAAATATTGGGGTTTTTGAGCCAAGTGGAAATGCTTTTTCAGCTATGTTGACTTACCACTGAGTAATAGCTGCACTGCAGTCTGCACCCCCACACATGGCACAAGCACCTCTGTGCAGTAGCTCTACTGCTCACAAAATATAAGGAGCCTCAAGAAGAGTAACATAAGCCTGTCCTTGAGTACTTGCTCTGCTACAAATTCCTCACTTATCTTCGGCCACCGTAAGTATGGGACAGATACTAGCATGGCATGTAGTTGTTTGGGCTCTTTTTGTACTGTACCAAGCATCACTTCTCAGTATGTATGGGCTGCGGAAATCTGAAATGGTCATTATCTGCTATTTTTGGCATGTCATCAAAACAAGATCTTGAAACGTGCTGAAAGTTCAGCAAGTTCATATAGGATTACACTGTGTAATTATCAATTAGTCAGGTTTCCAGGATAATTTTCCCTTCCCTTGATCTTGCTTTCTTTTATCCTTACTTTGATTTAAATGCTTTTTTTTTTTTTTTGAATGATGATGCAATTTCCTTAGCTATGAATAAATTCTCTTTAATATCTTAGTAAATGGTAGCAGTAAATGACTGGAATAAGCTGGTCAGAATCTATATCTGAGTAATGCAGAGAGAGTAATGCTAATGGACATGAGCTTTAAAAACCATCATCTATGTGAGGCTCAGTGGACTCCATCCACCATGTGCTCGTTTTAGGCAAAACTGCAGCCAGAATCCCACCCCTTGAAAGTACCTTCTCAATCTGCAGAAGTGATAGTGCTGGGATGCAAGGGTACTAACATGCCAGTAAAAGGATCCTTTTTTCATTTCAGATGTCATCTAAAAACATGGCTGGCCAACACATCCTTCCTCAAGCTTTGTATCAGAGCAATATGCTGAAAGCCATGAAGATTAGGGAGAGGACACCTGAAGATCTGGTCAAACCCCCCAGTGGAATAATTCACCACTTCAGGACTATGCACAGATACACCATAGAAATGTTCAGAATGTGCCAGTTTTGTCCTCAGTTTCGGGAAACACTTCAGAAGGCCCTGACTGACCAGGCAACCCAGACTTCGCTGGAGCGCCAGAGGAAGCTCAACTGGTGCATGGAAGTTCGGAGACTTGTCCCTTTGAAGACTAATGGTAAGTTATGAGCAGGTCTTTGCACTCGCATTAAAATGGGTAATACGAATGTAGCACCTTTATTAATAGCGTCTGAGTTCATGTTACTGAAACAGGAGTGCACAGCTTTAAAAAAAGTGGGGCCTTTTAATCTCAGTTTTGTAAACTAAAATTCTTTCCACATGATGTACTGTTCTGAGGCTGCGGCAGTCCTCTGCACATATCCCGGTATTATGAATAGCCTGAAAATTTCACAGATATTTTCATCATATTGGCAACCTGTGGCACATCAGAGTAAAATGCCAGGCGGGACCGTTGACTTGCAACGCATCACCTTTCCATGAATCCCACTCTGCTATGTGTCAGCTGCCTCATCGAATGTGCCAAATGGCGCTTAATGCTAGGCAAGAGGAGACTTCAGATGCTTTGAGTGATGGGGATGCATTCCCGTGTATATATAGCAGAAGTTAATATCCTGCTAGAACTCCTGTGTGTGTAAATGACAGCCATCTTCCTGCAACACAGTTTGCAATGCCCTTTTCTTTCAAGGATCAGTGCTGGCTTTGGGGCTTGGCTTTAGGGTTACTTTGTGTGTATTGTGTCAAGCACTGGAAATTCAAAGGTATAGGAGTAGTTCAAAGATTTCCTGAAGCAGGGTACGTGTGCCCACAGTCTCGAGCAGGAAACTTTTGCACGTGACTGTAAGAGTCACTGGGCATTTCACATTCAGTGGAGGAAAGTTTCGGTAATGGCTATGACTTATGGTCACACAGCTGCAAACTGGGGACTCAGGATTCTCTACAGCACAGATTGCCCCAAACTGGGAAGGTTTACTGGGACAGTGAGGACTTCAAGAGCATGGAAAATACATATTCGTTGCTGAGGGAGCAGATGACACTGGTTATAGAAACACTGGGTGTGGTGGACCTGCAGCCTTTTTGAAGTCCTTACATTATGTTCTGTGGATGCTTCTTTTCATATGTGTCTATATGCACATTACCCTTATCTTCTAGTCCACATTCTCCTCTTCCCAGGGTCTACCCTACTTCTCAGTCTGATTGCACATCGCTGTGTTGTGCAGCAGCCATAAAACCAGAACTGCCATGTAGATGTCACTTCTGTGACTGGAAAGAGCCTGATCCTAATGTGTGTTCTCTGTAATTGTCATGGAGGCACTGACCTTTTGGTGGGCTTTTGCACATGCGTAAAATTCTCATGACTGTAATTAGGCTGTTCCTGGAGGTCGCGTAATCTTGAACTTCCCAAGGACTGGAGTTGCACCTAGGGCAGGCAGCGCTTTGCAGGTAGTACTAGGAAGGTAACATCAGTCCAACTGTTGCATCTTCAAAACTTCACCCCAAGAGACACACTCTAGCAGATTTACTAGGAAAAGGGACAACATGTAATTTTTGCCCAGGGCAAAGAGCAACGGTTTTTGGAATCCCTCATCTCCTGTTAGTAGGAGTCCTGCAGGGGTTAACACCACCTGAACAGGTCCTTGTTGCTGACAACACTGTATTCAGTAACTAGAACTTCTTGCATTGTCTGGTGACTGTTGGCCAGTGTTACAAATGGGAACAATTTGTGGACTGGGAGCCTGGATGCCATCTGTGAGCAGGTGTACCAATATGTAGGATGCCGAAATGTTAGGGCAGGTTGAGGGAAGGCAAAGCAAGGGCTTGGTTTGTGGTCCCCCCTTACCCCATGCAGCCAATGAATTCACCTTCAGTTCAGTGCTTTAAGGTCATTAAGTGCATGAGTTGAAGGAGTGGCTTTGGGAACCTGTGGTTTATGCAAAGGAGTTGCAGCAGCTTGCAGCCTTTGCAGGAGAGAGAATGTAGACTGGACTGAAGGAGATCCCTGAAAGAAAGGACAGAAGCTTGGAGAAGCCCTATATTATCCCAGAAAATAACGTGAGGTTTTTTTTTTTCCCCATGTGCTGTGAAGAATTTTGGGTTTTTTTAAGCATTTAGCTGCTTAACCCATAGATGTGGGAGGAACGTATTAGTTCTGTCAGCAACAGTGGGCTTTCTTCAGAAAATTCTGGGGTTTTTTTCTGATGAAGGTTGTAATTGTTGAAAATAAAGACAGTATTTCCTATCTGTTGATGTATATTTTACCTAATATGTACATGACTATGTGGAGTGGTGTGGGTTTTTTAATTAAAAAAAAAAAAAAAAGCCCTTTTGAATCACCACACATTTCTTTGCAGACATGAGAATGGAGGATAGAAGGAAAGCAGTAGGAGGTATAAAAATCGAAACTGTTTTGGGGGGATTTTTTTTGTTGTTTTGTTTGATTTTTTTTTTTTTAAATTTAAAAATTCCATCACCTATTGGCTGTAGAGATTTCACTTGTATAATGAATAGGCATTCATTCCAGCTCACCCAGCCACACCCCCTGGGAAAGTCCAAGGGAGGGTTCGCTGCTCAGCCCTGCCCGCGGCAGAACAAAAAGTACAACTGTTGCTCAATTGCTAGTCAACCGGTTTGGGGGAATTCCAAGTGCTGTGTAAGGAATTTTGGGCAGCGCTTCTCAATAAAGAACTGAAAGTGAGCTCTCAGAGATAGAGAAAAAAAAAAAAATCTTATCTTTGCTCTAGATTTTGCAAAGGGAAAATTTTAATGGGATTAATATGTCATCTTTCTTGGTCAGAAGGAAACCCAGTCAGTTTTTCTGTCTTATATGTTGTTCCCTGAGTTTTGAGCTCAAGTAAGCAGCCAGCAGACTTGAAGCTTTGCAAGACAGCATTCAGAGACCAGAGGGCAGGTGCAGGAACCTGATATGCACTGAGTCCATAGCAATTTATGAGTGTTAAGCAGATTCCAAACGATATATTTTTCAGGATCTGGGGTCTGTTTTAGGTTTTTCTCTGCAGTTTCACAGAAAAAGTAGCAAATGTGTTTACAAATGGTGAACTTGAACTCATAATGCATCTGCAAACTGAATTTAAGCTTTTGTGGGGATTCTTTGGGTGATTCTTTTCCCCATGTGAGAAAAATCTGGTAGCTTTACCATGGTTGATGTCCTCTATTGCAAGGAAATTTCTGGTTTCTTAGCATTGGGGGAATCTGTTTACCTCTGTAGTAAATTAGTTTTGAATCTGAGGATATAACATTAATGATTCTTGATGTCTCTCTTTCAGGCAAGACATCCCTTTTCAAATAAGATGTCTAGAGATAGTATTTGAAACCCAGCTGTAGGCACAGTTTATCACACCTTTTAATTAAGTTAGCTAACTCCTCTGATTCTCATTTTCTTCCCCTCTGAAATTGCAGAACATCCCTTTCCTTCCTACCTGTAAAGAGGACTTCTTCAGTGCAAGGAGTGTATCTAAATGAAAATCAAACCATTATGTTTTACATTTATTTAGTTTTAATTTTGTGTTTTAGAAAAACAACCCTCTAAATAAAATACTTAACAGCCCAGCGTACTACTAGTTCTGAGAGGAAGGCAAGAGGTGTTCTTACAGTCGCTTTGTGTAAATCACCTACTCTTCCCTTTCTGTCCCTTCTTTTATTACAATTCTTCCATCAAGCACAGCCAAGTTCCAAGGCTTGCAATAAAATGCTCATCAGCGACATGAGACTTCATGTTACTATAGTGTATTCTTAGTGGTTTCCATTATCTCTACCCTGTGCCATCAGATGTACTTGTACAAACACTGTTGAGGGAGACTTACACATTATTCTGTAATTTTAAGTTGACTTTGTTGTGTTTAAAAGCTATTCCAGCTGTTTGACCTTTGCAGTTGACCCCAAAATTTAGTTCATGATAACAGTCAAAGTTAAAGGAAGATAGATGAGGGGAAGACTTCTCGCTGTTGCTGAATGACAGCTTAACACCAACTGGTGAAGGCAGAAAACCAGTAGAGAGAGGACTTTCTTCCTTTCTGTCTCTGAGCAGAGAGCTCATAACTGTAGTCTTGTTAAAACCCTTGTGTCCGAGGCTTAGAGACAAGTGCACTGGGAATGTGCATATGCACAGCATAAATTCCATATCCCACATGCTTGTGGGGTTTTATTTAAGTAGCCATTTAAAAATAATGTACTCTTTCATTTTTTGCAGGTGATGGAAATTGCCTCATGCACGCTGCATCGCAGTACATGTGGGGTATTGAAGATATTGACCTCGTCTTAAGAAAAACATTGTTTAGTGCACTCAGGGAGATTGACTCACGGAACTTCAAGCTCCGCTGGCAGCGGGAGGCTATTAAATCCCAGGAGTTTGTAGAAACGGGACTCCACTATGACACCCGGGTAAGATGGCCTGAGGGAATGGTGCTGTTCTCTGAGTGCTTGTCGGAGTTGCCTTGCTGGTTTTGTTTGCTTTTTGGCTTCACGGATTCCACCATCAGTGGAGAGCAGAAATAGGCTTCCTTTGGAGGAAATGGGAAAATGTGATTATTCTGAGTGCTGCTGTGCTGCAGTTGGTTCCTGACCTCCATGTCTTTGAACTGTTGCTGACAGATGTTTCTTTCCACAGAACTGGGAGGAAGAGTGGGAATACCTCATTGAAATGACCTCCCCAGAAACATCTGGGGCTCGAAACAGGCTTCCATATAATGCACTGGAAGAAATCCACATCTTTGTCCTTGCTAACATCCTCAGAAGGCCAGTCATTGTCCTTGCAGGTGAGTTGCCCAGTCATCTCACATTACAGATCGTATTACTCTGTGCTGTGTTATTAATCTTACTTTGCTCGTTGTTTTCACGTAGATGTGCATCAGAACTGAGTTTTCAGCAATTGTTCTAGAACACCCAGAATATGTTCTCTCTTTCCTGTAGCACATACTTATTTGTGTTTGTTTGTTGGGTTTTCTTCTTCCTTGTGCAGATAAAGTGGTGAGAAGTTTAGAGTCAGGCTCCAGTTTTGCTCCTCTGAATGTCGGTGGTATTTACTTGCCTCTCCTTTGGCCAGCTGAAGAATGCTACAGATACCCGATTGTGCTTGGCTACGACAATATGCATTTTACACCACTAGTGACTCTGAAGGACAGCGGGCCAGGTATTTTTCCAAGTACCTTGTTTGGTGTTTATGTAGCTTCTTCAATATCATCATGCTGGTGAAGCATTTAAAATATAAACTGTTTAACTTTGAACATTTCAAAAGTTGAAATAAATGTAAAAGATTCTTTTGGAATACATTCTTAAAATGAGAGCAGGAACTTTGTCTGTAAATCTGAATAGAAACTAAAGGTTTTCTTCAAAATGCCAGTTGAAAGTAGAATACAACTCACATGCTTGCAGGCTGGAATCAAAGAGTGGCTTCTGCTTCCCTGTGTTCTGGCTTCCTTTCCACACCGCATCGTAAGAGAAAGAGCTTTGAAGGACGTGGTCTCACAGTGGTGTACCACTGCTTGGCAGGGATAATGAGATACATGCTTTGCTGTTTTTAAAGCATCCCTTCTGAATGGAAAACAGTTCTCCAGGTTCAGGTTAGGGCATCATCCCACAGAATGGTGTAATAAGCCAAGAACTACAGGGCTGCCCACACTGAGAAGAAAATTGCTGTGGGGACATTAAAACTTCCATGGGATGGGGCCAGATTTGTGCTGCAGACATGTCTGTGTTCTCCCCCCATGGCACTGTTTAGAAACCAGTTGCTCTTGCCAGCCATTCTCCTCTCTCTCTGAAATTCAGCAGCAGTGGTGACATCTCCATGTGTTGCATCTTGTGGTTACTCCTGCCTGGTAAAATATGTATGTATGCTAATCCGTCTTGTTTCCCAACAGAAATCCGGGCTGTCCCTCTGGTCACCAGTGAACGAGGCAGATTTGAGGATTTGAGTGTGCACTTCCTGACAGATGCAGAAGAGAGGGAGAAAGAGCAGCTGCTGAAAGACTACTTGGTAGTGATAGAAATTCCAGTGCAAGGCTGGGATCATGGTACAACTCATCTAATTAATGCTGCAAAGTGAGTGTCATTCCTGTTTCCTCAAAGTTACCTTGTGTACGGAGGCGGGAGAAGCTGGGCAGCCCAGTGTATTACTTCAGTCTTTCCTTCCTCCCACGGTAGCACACCTGAAATATGACATATCGACGTTACTGTTGTCATGTCTTGAAGTGGTGTGAGCTCAGACCAGTCTCAAATATAAGGGCAAAAACGTCTTCAGACTTAGCAGACTGAAACTAATATTTTAGAAGAGCAAACTCCATGGATTAGTTTCACTGACTTTTAGATCACACAGGAGGGCAGCTGAGAAGTAGTTAAACTCAGGAACTAGTTAGACCAAACTCTTGCACTTTAAGTAAGGGCACATTGCACAATGGGCAGCTGGTGTAATTTTGGCTGCCCTAGGGAGAGTACTCCGCGATATGTTCTTAGCGCAGATGCCTTGCTGCCCTGGGCTGTTGCGAGGTGGCAGTAGGCAGGAAGCTGTGGCCGGTGGAGGAACCGGCATCTGTACCCATCGCCTTGACGGTTGAGTGTCAGTAACGTGCAGGGGACAGCTGGTGGCACCCATCGGCTTCTCGCGTTTAGGGAACGCTGGCAGCAGTGTGTGCCCAGCCCCTTCATCAGTGTGGGAGGGAAGGAACTCCCTATATCCTCTGCCTTTTCCTCCATTACCACACAGGGAGTAGTGGTTTGGGAGCCCTGAAAATTGAAGTCCTCCTAGCCAAGGCATATATGCATATGTAAAGAGTAGCAATCCAGCTTCTCTAGTCCCACTGCACAGATGTGTTCTTGAGTGTTACCAGTGCTGCTAGCTCCTCATCCTCCCAGCTCTGGCATGGTGAAGCTGCAGTGTGGGGTTTTCCCTGCGGTCAGGGGCAGAGATGGTGTGATGGATGTTAGTGTTACACACACTTCACTGAAGCCCTGCAGTTTGTTTGAAGAATTTCACTGGTATATAGAGAACCAACGGGGCAAAACCAGGAGCAGATTTCATTATAAACTGTATCATGAAATGCTGAGTCCACTGTAGGAAATGCTTGTTCTTAGTGTGAGCTGGTGAAGAGAGGGGTCTTCCACTCTAACCTCAGCTCAGCTGAGCACTGGTCTTCAAAGGAATTCAGGATTGGGGGGATTTTACTTTTCGCTTCTGAGAGACTATCCATATTCTTCCTGCAAACAGCTCTTGGACAGAAAACCCTCACCTAGAAAATCCTTTTAAGAATACTTCTGTTTAGCATTGAGTCAACCATTTCTTTAGATGTGCAAGTCTCCATTTGACATCACTGAACACCTGCTTTTAAAATTATTTCCATTTACAGCAAGAGTTTAACATCCTGGATCTTCTAGCTGAGTAATATGGATGTGCATTAAATCTACATTTCCTGCCCACCTTGCTTGTATTTGCCTCCACCCCCACCATCTGCCCTTTTCAACCACTGATGCAATCTTCCTTTTTTGTCTGTCAGGTTAGATGAAGGCAACCTACCCAAAGAAATAAACCTTGTGGAAGATTACTTTCAACTGGTACAGCATGAGTACAAGAAGTGGCAGGAGAACACTGAATCTGCTAGGAGAGAGACCTGCTCCAGGAACAGACAAGAACTGTCTTTTTCCCAGCTCTCCCTCTTACAGGTGAAATGTGAAACGCCAAATTGCCCTTTCTACATGTCTGTGAACACCCAGCCCTACTGCCACGAGTGCTTTGAGCGGAGGTCCCAGGGAAGCAAAGGAAGAAAGCAGGCCTCCAAAGCAGCAGCTGAGAAACTGAAGGCAGCTGGGTTGGGCTCCTCCCATGGGGACGTTTGTGAGCCCGGGGGATGGACATCTGAAGGGCCTGTAACAGGGCCTCGCTCCGCACCTCCAACTGCTCCGAGCCTTTTCCTATACAGTGAGACCACGGCCATGAAATGCAGGACACCGGACTGCCCCTTTACTTTGAACGTGCAACACAATGGTCTTTGCGAACGCTGTTACACCTCCAGACAGCTTGGTCCTTGCAACAACTTGGATGACCAGAGACATGTAGACTATGCTGTGTGCAAGGTGTGCCATCAGAAGGCCAACAGGACCTTCAATGGCATATGCAGCACTTGCTTCAAAAGGTCTACAGAGCGCTCCTCAAATGGCAGCCCTGCTTTCCTGCCCACGTGCCACCAGAGATCAACATCTGACCCATCCCAGATCTCCCAGAGCCTCCTCCAGCACTCCTGCCGCCCCGCTCCCAGCAGCCACGGCGAGGAGCCCCCACCACCAGCACTGCCTCCCAAGGAGAAGAGGGGAGGGAACCTCTGCAGGAAACCTGGCTGCAAGTTTTTTGGGACGTCGCAGAATGAGGGCTTTTGCACACTGTGTTTCTTTGAGTACAGGGAAAACCACGGTAAGCGGAGATGGGGTGGGAGATGGGGTGGGAGATGGCTGCAGATTGAGGTGTGAAGCTCTGCACACACTTGGTGCTGAAAGGGCTTGGGGGCGATGGAAACGGTACGGAGCAGAAGCAGCAGTGTGAGGAGAAGGTGCTTATTTTGGCCATCATTACCCTGTAAAGGGGCATGTGGTAATAGAGTGGGAAATCTGTGAAATTTCTTGTAAAACTTCCTGTTGGCTTTCATGGAAGCAAAACTAGGTCAGGAGGGAGTAGCTTCTGATCCCTCTCCACTACTGCCATCATGGTTTGGTTTGGTATGAATTTTCTTCACAGCTAGACAAGTTGTAGAGGTCAGTAAGGGAAATTAATCGATGGTGGTGAAAACCAATTATGTTGGTAAGGCTTTTAAAAAGGTTGAAAAGGTTGAATTTGAAGATCTGTATCCATTCTGGATGTAACAGGTATAACACTCTGGAGTAACCACTGAAGTCGCCTTGATAAGCAGAGCAAGTAGAAGTTGACTGGAAATAATGTGCTTGTATTTTGGAGCAGCTTAGTAGTGTATTGTAATGTACCTTGAGATCTTTCGTCATAGTATCACATGCATGCATGCGCATGTGTGTTTAAAGGCAGGCCTTCAGAAAGGTAATGGTCTGTGAAAAAATCACAGCATGAAATCTTTATCTTTCATGCTAATGCCCTGTTACACAGGCAAGCACAGAGGGCGAAAGGCTTGTGTAAGAGAGAATTATTACTTGTCTCTGAAGACTGTTTCATTGCTGACAAGCATGCCAATGCTAGGCTTTCCACATGCTTTCAAATTAGGGAACTTCTATGTGAGCTTGCAGTAGCTTATTTTCCAGCATTGTTCACAATGACAATGTTTTCCTTCTGATTGTGGAATATGATTGCTTCATGAGACTCAAAAGCGTAAGGCACTTTTCCCATTAAGCTCTGTGCCGCTGTACTTCCATTACCCCATGCACCTGAAACAGGGGAGACTGAAAGGGAAGCGTCGGAGTACATCCCAGATGACATGCTGAAGCTAATGGTGAACTTCCTCTTGACTTCAATGGGATCTAGTTTTCCCACTGAGGGCAAATTTTTCCCACATCAGCTGTTTCAACAACTTCTGTTATGAAAATCAGGCTGTATTAGCCCCTTTATATATGTATAAGGAATGCACGGAGGAAAGTGCATCAACTGAGGAGTCTCAGGATTGTCCAAAACCCATGCCTGAGGCAAGGAGATTTTTTATTTTTATTTATATTTATATTTTTATTTTTTATTTTTAAACTGGGGAGCTTTTTATGGCTG